GAATCGGATTAAGTTTGGCAAAGTTATGGACTCTCCAAGTCCAATTTTGGGTCAAAGTTCAACAAGTCATCGGAAAATAAGAAATAACTAACATGAAAATCGGTCCAAAAATTTGATGAACGCTAAATTGAAAATTTTCAATGCAGATTTTTAGAGAATCAAATCACGAGTCTTTAGAGGTATGCCACTTTGGAATCGGATTAAGTTTGGCAAAGTTATGGACTCTCCAAGTCCAATTTTGGGTCAACGTTCGGAAAATATAATATAAATAAGTCATCGGAAAATATGAAATAACTAACATGAAAATGGGTCCAAATTTTGATCAACGTTAAATTGAAAATTTTCAATGCAGATTTTTAGAGAATCAAATCACGAGTCTTTAGAGGTATGCCACTTTGGAATCGGATTAAGTTTGGCAAAGTTATGGACTCTCCAAGTCCAATTTTGGGTCAACGTTCGGAAAATATAATATAAATAAGTCATCGGAAAATATGAAATAACTAACATGAAAATGGGTCCAAATTTTGATCAACGTTAAATTGAAAATTTTGAATGCAGATTTTTAGAGAATCAAATCACGAGTCTTTAGAGGTATGCCACTTAGGAATCGGCTTAAGTTTGGCAAAGTTATGGACTCTCCAAGTCCAATTTTGGGTCAACGTTCAACAAGTCATCGGAAAATAAGAAATAACTAACATGAAAATGGGTCCAAAATTTGATGAACGCTAAATTGAAAATTTTGAATGCAGATTTTTAGAGAATCAAATCACGAGTCTTTAGAGGTATGCCACTTTGGAATCGGATTAAGTTTGGCAAAGTTATGGACTCTCCAAGTCCAATTTTGGGTCAACGTTCAACAAGTCATCGGAAAATATGAAATAACTAACATGAAAATGGGTCCAAATTTTGATCAACGTTAAATTGAAAATTTTGAATGCAGATTTTTAGAGAATCAAATCACGAGTCTTTAGAGGTATGCCACTTTGGAATCGGATTAAGTTTGGTGAAGTGATGGACTCTCTAAGTCCAATTTTGGGTCAAAGTTCAACAAGTCATCGGAAAATAAGAAATAACTAACATGAAAATCGGTCCAAAATTTGATGAACGCTAAATTGAAAATTTTCAATGCAGATTTTTAGAGAATCAAATCACGAGTCTTTAGAGGTATGCCACTTTGGAATCGGATTAAGTTTGGCAAAGTTATGGACTCTCCAAGTCCAATTTTGGGTCAACGTTCGGAAAATATAATATAAATAAGTCATCGGAAAATATGAAATAACTAACATGAAAATGGGTCCAAATTTTGATCAACGTTAAATTGAAAATTTTCAATGCAGATTTTTAGAGAATCAAATCACGAGTCTTTAGAGGTATGCCACTTTGGAATCGGATTAAGTTTGGCAAAGTTATGGACTCTCCAAGTCCAATTTTGGGTCAACGTTCGGAAAATATAATATAAATAAGTCATCGGAAAATATGAAATAACTAACATGAAAATGGGTCCAAATTTTGATCAACGTTAAATTGAAAATTTTGAATGCAGATTTTTAGAGAATCAAATGCAGAAATCACGAGTCTTTAGAGGTATGCCACTTTGGAATCGGATTAAGTTTGGCAAAGTTATGGACTCTCCAAGTCCAATTTTGGGTCAATGTTAAACAAGTCATCGGAAAATAAGAAATAACTAACATGAAAATGGGTCCAAAATTTGATGAACGCTAAATTGAAAATTTTGAATGCAGATTTTTAGAGAATCAAATCACGAGTCTTTAGAGGTATGCCACTTTGGAATCGGATTAAGTTTGGCAAAGTTATGGACTCTCCAAGTCCAATTTTGGGTCAACGTTCGGAAAATATAATATAAATAAGTCATCGGAAAATATGAAATAACTAACATGAAAATGGGTCCAAATTTTGATCAACGTTAAATTGAAAATTTTGAATGCAGATTTTTAGAGAATCAAATCACGAGTCTTTAGAGGTATGCCACTTTGGAATCGGATTAAGTTTGGCAAAGTTATGGACTCTCCAAGTCCAATTTTGGGTCAACGTTAAACAAGTCATCGGAAAATAAGAAATAACTAACATGAAAATGGGTCCAAAATTTGATCAACGCTAAATTGAAAATTTTGAATGCAGATTTTTAGAGAATCAAATCACGAGTCTTTAGAGGTATGCCACTTTGGAATCGGATTAAGTTTGGCAAAGTTATGGACTCTCCAAGTCCAATTTTGGGTCAACGTTCGGAAAATATAATATAAATAAGTCATCGGAAAATATGAAATAACTAACATGAAAATGGGTCCAAATTTTGATCAACGTTAAATTGAAAATTTTGAATGCAGATTTTTAGAGAATCAAATCACGAGTCTTTAGAGGTTGCGTTTGGAATCGGATTAAGTTTGGCAAAGTTATGGACTCTCCAAGTCCAATTTTGGGTCAACGTTCGGAAAATATAATATAAATAAGTCATCGGAAAATATGAAATAACTAACATGAAAATGGGTCCAAATTTTGATCAACGTTAAATTGAAAATTTTGAATGCAGATTTTTAGAGAATCAAATCACGAGTCTTTAGAGGTATGCCACTTTGAAATCGGATTAAGTTTGGCAAAGTTATGGACTCTCCAAGTCCAATTTTGGGTCAACGTTCGAAAATATAATATAAATAAGTCATCGGAAAATATGAAATAACTAACATGAAAATGGGTCCAAATTTTGATCAACGTTAAATTGAAAATTTTCAATGCAGATTTTTAGAGAATCAAATCACGAGTCTTTAGAGGTATGCCACTTTGGAATCGGATTAAGTTTGGCAAAGTTATGGACTCTCCAAGTCCAATTTTGGGTCAACGTTCAACAAGTCATCGGAAAATATGAAATAACTAACATGAAAATGGGTCCAAAATTTGATCAACGTAATTAAAAAATATAAAATATGAAATAACTAACATGAAAATGGGTCCAAATTTTGATCAACGTTAAATTGAAAATTTTGAACGCAGATTTTTAGAGAATCAAATCACGAGTCTTTAGAGGTATGCCACTTTGGAATCGGATTAAGTTTGGCAAAGTTATGGACTCTCCAAGTCCAATTTTGGGTCAACGTTTAACAAGTCATCGGAAAATATGAAATAACTAACATGAAAATGGGTCCAAATTTTGATCAACGTTAAATTGAAAATTTTGAATGCAGATTTTTAGAGAATCAAATCACAAGTCTTTAGAGGTATGCCACTTTGGATTCGGATTAAGTTTGGCAAAGTTATGGACTCTCCAAGTCCAATTTTGGGTCAACGTTCAACAAGTCATCGGAAAATAAGAAATAACTAACATGAAAATGGGTCCAAAATTTGATCAACGCTAAATTGAAAATTTTGAATGCAGATTTTTAGAGAATCAAATCACGAGTCTTTAGAGGTATGCCACTTTGGAATCGGATTAAGTTTGGCAAAGTTATGGACTCTCCAAGTCCAATTTTGGGTCACTCTTTTGCAAGACATCGGAAAATAAGAAATAACTAACATGAAAATGGGTCCAAAATTTGATGAACGCTAAATTGAAAATTTTGAATGCAGATTTTTAGAGAATCAAATCACGAGTCATTAGAGGCATGCCACTTTGGAATCGTATTAATTTTGGCAAAGTTATAGACCATCAATGTCCAATTTTGAGTCACTCTTTTGCAAGACATCGGAAAATATGAAATAACTAACATGAAAAATGGGTCCAAATTTTGATCAACGTTAAATTGAAAATTTTGAATGCAGATTTTTAGAGAATCAAATCACAAGTCTTTAGAGGTAGTCCAAAGTGGCAGGATTCGGCTTTATATTGGTAAAGTTATGGACTCGAGAAGTCCAATTTTGGGACTTAAAACTAGTTTTCTTAGAAACGGACGGACGGACATAGCTAGATCGACTCGCCTGGTGATACTGATCAAGAATATAGATATTATATAAATAATTTTGGACTGGAAACTTCCGCTTGACGAAGTTCTACTGTATTTCTTTGTCGTCTTTTAAGTTGTCGCTAACAAAATTTGTCTACAACCTATAAACTTTTTTGGCTCCAATCCACACACTCCCCTACCCTTTTCCACTCCTTTCCACACCCCAGCCCACTTTTCCCCTTCCAGCCTCCTTCCACTTGTCTACATTCCTGAGCATATGATAAATGTTTCGTGTTTTGTCTGTTTTTGCTGTTCGGACACGTTTTTCTCGTGTTCTGCGATCGTTTTTGGGGTCTCCACCGCATTACACATGACACATAGAAAAGCTATCACAAAAAAAAAAGATTTAAGAAAAACTAGTCCCGATTTGGCCACGCCTCTCTAGAGGGAAGTCGTTTGTTATGACTACTGGGCCACCAAATGAACAGGCGTTAACTCTTTCGACAGGTGACAGGTGGCGAAGCTGTAAACAACCCAAGTCATGTGCTACCAAATTAGTGGGTTAAGTGGTGCAGGAAAACCGAAAACATAAATTTGGGTAAACACTTTGCTGGGGTTCAGAGAAGCTAATTAGGTAGAGGAAAACATAAATAATATTGTTTAGACAAAAAAAAAAAAAAAATGCACAAGCCATTTTGATATTTGTTTTCAAAAGGCAAGAGGATTCTGTGACATGAGAAATTTAAAATTTGACTTTAACTTTCCTTTTCCCTTAACCTGCGAATCATTATTCTAGCATATACAAGTCCCCAAATAAACTTGTTGCATTGACCTTGACATTGACCCACTTCTAAATGGCCACAATTTTTGCTTTTAGCACGCTTTTCTTTAATTAAATCTAGCACAGTCTCTTAAAAGCTCGAGTTTAAACTCCAATTCATGCATTTCCACGCAATTAACTCTCTTAATTAACTTATCATGCTACTCAAAATTTATTATCTCACATGACAAACACAGATTGAGAGATATAGATGGAAGCTGTAAATAAACCCATCTGTTTCTAGCCCCAAAAGCCATGGCAAAGTTAATTAACAGACAGTTACTCACATAATCGAGTGTGAAAAGCGCGCAAATTGTGCGAAAGTCGAAATTCATTGAACATTCAGTGACTTTGCGGCGTTCACATCCAATCCATTCGATGCCATTCAATTCACTTTCGGCTGAAACGAGATAAAAGAGAGGCAAGACAGAGATAAATAAATGCGTGTTAAAACAAATAAGCAAAATGATGTGAAAATGTTTTGAATGGAGCGGAAACGGAGTTTGACTAATGACAACAACAACAACAGGCAATAAAAAATTGTTCAGCAATGTTTTGATATTAGCACTTGGCACAGACACAGATATACGCTCGAAATTGCATAATGAAAAGCCAGCCGCAGAAAATGAAGTACAAACCATCAACTTTTACCCGGCAACATTTGGCTAGCAACATTTTTGGTACCCTGGCAGGGGGTATCATAAATTTTTTGGCAAAACCGAAATTAATTTCCGACTTTATAAAGCTTTTATGCATCCGCCGAAATTGAGAATTTTATGCACTTAATTTGTCAAACATTTATGATTATATGTCGACATATGAAACATAACAAACTTTTTATGACTATCGGAAGAATCGAGGTTAATTTTAATCCATTTTTTGTATCTGAAATAAACTGTGTGATGTTTCTGTAAATGATAATCTGCTTTTATTTTAGAAAATGGTGTAATAGCTTTGCATAGTTTTGGAGCAAGCGTATTTGTGACTTCGGCTTTAGACGATTCCTATTCACTCCCCTGGCTTTTTTCGGAAACCTTTCGCCAGACACTGCCGCAACCTCGAAGCTGTCTCCAGTGATAAATCAGCTGCACCGAAACCCGCGAGAAAACAGTCAAATACTTGCCAACAAAACTCCCACAAACTCCGACCGTTGCACGACATTTTTTTGGCGCAGTTTTGACCGAGGGCGTCTCGCATAACAATTCATTATCATTAATTATATTTGCACTCAAATTGCACAAACGGAAAACGAGAGGAAAACCCAAACTCCCCGACGAGCTGGGCATGAAAAATTGAACAATGTCGAATGTCGATTAAATTGAAAACAATTTTACGCTGCAAAATTTCAATATTTCCCGTCATTTGCCGTTAGGCTCAACGTCCCAAAGACAAGAGTTAAAGCAGCATTCCCGACCCAAAAACCAAAACGAAAAATTCAAATCTTAAGAGTGGAAAAGAGAGGCAAAATATGGCTCATAAAGCATCGAACATCAACAACAAAAATCGGCAACAACAATTTATTGGTCGCATTAACCTCGGCGAACTCTCTCACTTTTCTGGACCACTGCGGGGGGTGGTGGGTGGTGCGGGGGGCCAGTCAATCGATGCGAGTTGTGAAAATATCATTTACAGGCAATTTGTAAAAAAGCAACAACAGCAGCAGCGAAATAACTGCAAGCTTAGCGAAATTTGCACGAACCAAAAAAAGCAAAAATAATACCAAACAAAAAAATCAAAAACAAATGAACGGCGTTTTACTTTAGCAAACAACCAAAAACAAAAAGGGGCAAGGAAAGGGGGCAGCAGGGTATCTGTGGTCAAGTTGTTAAGTCGGAAATGGGCACAAACGCCGATCGTCAGCGGTCGACAACAGCAACAACGGCAGAAATGACGACGACGACAACGTCTCCAGGCGATAATTGGATCCCTTTCCAAGTCGGTCTTGGAGTTACGAGGGTACGAAGAGTGGGAAGGTTTTAGGGGAAATACTCTCAGCCAAGATAGAAATTCAAAACACTTCTTCTTCTTTTCTGTTTTGGTTGAGTGGGAAATTTTTCTCACGGGACCTTAAAAGATTTTGACACATGCCAGATGTGATAATCAAAGAACTGTATTGTTAAAAAATAAATTACAGTAAAATCTAAATAAATTCATCAATGCTGAAAAATATATTCAAATATATTAATTATAGAAACAAAAAAAAGGAAAGCAAAGACAAAATAATGATTAAACGCATAAATGCCTTAAACTTAAGCTGCAACTGTACTCCTAAACAGCTCATACACTCAGATTTTAACAAATTCCTTCGAGTAATTCTAGAACCCTTTTATGCAAAGCACTCAACACCTAACACATTCTCCAATTATCCAACGCTCTCATAACTCTTTTGTTTGTACGCTCTTTTTTTTGCCGCCAAAATGAAATTCAATACAAAAGCGCAAAAAGCAGATGCGGAACAAACAGAAATTCTGTCAGGTGAGACGCGAACGCAACATTTTCGGCTGCCTTAACAAAAACAAAGGAAAGAAAATGAAAACAAAAAAAACTGAGATCAAGAGCTTCACAGAACTCTCGAACCGAAAAAAAGAGACATTAACTCGAGTATTTCGTGAGAAAAAGAACAAAGTTGAAAGAGATTTAAACTGAAACCCACTTGAGTTCATTAACGAAACTCAAACGAAAGTGAAAGAGGAAGAGTGGCAGGGAGAAATGCATTCGAAATGCAATAGAAAGTGAAATGCGTTGGCAAAACAAAACCGTCGGCAACGAAAAATCTCCTCCAAATGAGCCGCGAGATGCTGGCGATATGTGTTATGGACAGACCCAAGACCCCTCCCTCCCCTCCCACCACACTATTACCCCCCTTTTGTCCACTCCCATGACCTTGTTCGCAAATTCTGTTGACGTACATCGAACATGGGTGCCACCATACCATCCACATCCACATCCACCAAACGAGACACCATCCTTGGCGCTTTTCCAGCCGATTGCCATCAAGAAATATTTGAGATTCACTTTCGGAGCCGGCAAAGGCAACGAAATCCAGTAAAATGCACCGAAAGCCGAGCCAGCAGAAGCCAACGAGGCAGTAAAAACAATGCCTGGCAGCCGCGCATTGACAACTCATAGATAAAATGCTTTTCTTTAACTATGACGCGACTTCCAACTGCGACGGCCTCTTCTCAATGGCTGCAAACAATGACAAACTCTGCTTCTGCAACTGGAAAGTGGAAACACACGATAAAAGCCACCAAACACACGCGCATAAAATCAAAGCCCCAGTCAAGATTAATGCTCAATTTACTATACTCTGCTGGAACAATTTATCACTAATTCCTAATTCACACTTTTTGATGATAAAAAACTTTTCATGTTTTAATTTATTTTATCAAATTAAAAATATAAAAGAAAATATCACCGGAAAATGAAGTCCTTCGGCCTGGCCATTGGAGTTTAATTAGTTGATTTAAAATTTGGAGATGGGCTTTATTAACAAATTTCTTAATTTTTTTAATATTTGATTTGGAGGAGGATGTGAGTAAGGAAGATGGAAGGGATTCAAAAATGGAACGTAAAGGCAAAATGAGGTGCTCTCTAATAAAAACGTAACGTTCTATCGTGCGTTACCCAACGCAAATTCTTCAGCTTTATTAACGACTTATCGCGGAAATAAATTTTAATCAGAAATACATGAAAGGAGAGAAGTTTACATAAAAAATTAATTTCAAAATATGAACTATTATATGTACAAGACTTGATAAAAGAATAAATGCTTGGTTGATAAGCCGTTCCAAGAAATCGCGATACCCCCAATGAGTGGGGATGTGTGGGCTGGCATTCGGCATTCGGCACTCGGCGTTCAGTATGCGAGGCACCAAAGACTCGAATGAAATGCCACAGATTCGAATTTGATAAAATGCCAAGCAACAAGTTGGGAGCGAAAGAAAGAAAAAGTGAGAACCGGGGCAAGATGGGGAGGAGGGGTCTAATGAGGGAAAGAGATGGCGCAGGCGCGAACCGCCAGGCGATAAATCTTCCAAACTAACTTTTGCCATTACAATTGCAGAAAATAAACAGAGGAAACGAGAGTAAGCAGGCGAAATACTCACTCGTTTGGAGTGGAAAATCGGGGAAGAGTGGGTAATATCTGCGATGCGTAAAAGACACATATAGTTGTGGTATCTGTCTGACGATAATTGGGCCAAAACGAATGCTTCGGGCACCGGCAGGTCGGGTTGGTAATTGATATGTTTACAGCTCTATTTTATTCGCAACTCAATTAAACCCGCGTCAAGCTGTGACAAGCCATAAACCGAGGAAGACAGTCCAACAATTAGAGTCTCGATTTGTATCTATTTTGGTTTGGTTTGTTCGGTTCACTTTCGTTTTCCATTTCCATTTGGATTCGAAGTGTGAAAGGTTGGCATCGCATTGCTGATCTTCAGGTGGTCTTATTTAATTTCGTTGTGACTCCTTCTATTTGCTTGTGGTTAATTAATCCAAAGTGATCTTCAACTTGCAGATTCGATCACTCGATGGCATCATTTGTGCGATCAGCTAACGACAGGTTTAAGTGATCTTTCTTCAAGAGATAAGATCAATTGGGCTAAGATGTCTGCGATAGATCAGTGACAATTAAATGACAGTTGTGCTTGAGTTCAAGATACTGTCGCGATCAGCGAATATATCGCAGAAGTGTCTGTCTTTAATGATCTTCTTTGGTGGTGGAACTTCTAAAAGCTTCAATAAGTGGTTCTACTACTAAATGAACATACCAATAACTTATCCATTAACCTTTAATGCTTTTAGCTACCTTTCGATACGTAATTATAGTTCATTACATATTTTAAGTATACCCCACTTGACAGATTCGTTTATATCCCAGTCATTAATTAAACAGTATGCAAATTGTATTTACCTATTTAAAACACTGAATATACATAAATCATTCACAAAGCTAATTGGATCTCAGCCCCGCTTTTAAACCCTTTTTGATATTTTAACCGATCTGTTGCTCCCAATTTGCTTTTAATTGGCCAACCTGAATTGCTCAATATCAAGTTTTTCCTTTATTTTTAGGTCGTCTGGTTTCGATTATGTAAAGTCCTCGCTCGCATATGAAAGCCAATATGAATGCCCGCTCGTTTGACAGACTAACTGAGTGACTGCCTGAACTGAAACGACTCATATACTCGTATGTCTTTATGGGTGGGGGCACCCTAGATCTGGTGGCTCATAAAGGCGGGAAAAGAAACAAGCAACTTTACACAGAGCAATTAAAAAGGAATCAAGGCACTGCGAACAAAAAATAAACAGAAACTAGTTTACTCCGAGCGACATGGACTGCAAAGCTCAAATTGAAATTGGGATACTTGTTGGAATTTCTGCGAGGATCACAGG